ATTACACGCCGGCAAACAACGGAGGATCCGGATCTTCTCTTCCGGGCAGCAGGAGGAGCTCCGATTCGTACGCGCCGATCGGAAGCAGCAGTGACGCTGCCGTGGAGTAGCCTGCAGCTGGTGACAGTGTTTGGTGTCTTGACAACCACTGATTTGTTAAAAACTAGCTGTCCATGTTTGATTGTGTGTTAAATCCATTATCAAGATCCGCGCCATTTATTACCTCCTTGGACAACCTCGTGTGAACCTGGTTTGAAAGCCCCTGCTGATTAAGGTGTTTCGGGCCAAAACATAAGTATTGTGCTCACGAATAGCATAGCTAGCTGTCGAGCTGGCACTTTTTAATGCTATACCTATGCCTAGTTTACGCCGTGAGCTCAACTAGTGTGTTGTGCTGTATCCTGGACACTGCTGAACACGCCCTTGCAGGACACGCCCTAATTGATATACCTGACACGCCTTTGTGGTGTTTACTACTGTCTGTGTTGGCTTATTTCCGGTCAGCTATCTGCTAAAGGCTTTGAATGCGTGGAGCCCTGTTTGTCTCACAGTGAAGTGAAAGTCATCAATGATCTTCCCGGAAATAACGTCATAGTACGTTGTGGCGCGAGCCCGACCCGAGGTCCAGGCACATCAGGCTTACAGCATATCAGTATGATGTGAAATAAAACACATTGCAAAGAAAGGAAAGTTTTTTCTTTAAGAGCGCCGGGCAGAGGTCTTCGTGAGACCATTTCAAATTTTCTGCCACGTCCGCTCAGTTCTCCACAGGCGCCATAGCCGTCAGTGGCGTCAAATCGCGGCGAGAAAAGCACACCGGTTGAGCTCCTGGCGATCCAGAATACGCAATAGCTGAACCTATGCTGGTAGTCGATTGTCCAGTCAATTTTCCACGGTGATGCGTTTGATATTTTATAAGACGAACCATATTTTACGAAAGTCTTGTAGGGCAAATCTACTTATCAGTCCTCTAATCTAAATTAATGAAAATACACCTTTGGCTGCTCAACTTTAGCCTTTAAAAGCAATGCAGGTAAATTGAAACTTTGCGTTCCATAAACGTGTCGTTCCAAGATGCGCTAGCAAAGCAAACTTACATAATTACAGGCGTTGGCGCTCCATCAAGAGGCGTGACGTCATGCGTGGCGTTGCTTGGCATAAAAGGGAGGAAGTTGTAACAGCTTGTTGATGTCTAAAAAGTAAAAGAAATTGAGCAGTGGAGAAATCTTTATAACGAAGGAGCGACAACCTGGATAAACTGAAATGGCCACAGCTCAATCAATTTACGTTCGCTACTTTTCATTGATGTTCACTTGCCGAAGTCCAAAATCCATAGCCACAAATAATTCAATCCGTTAAGTGTTTTTCGATACCGCGGCACGAAAGGGAAAATTCATACTCATATCATGAAGTAGTTCCTCAAACATTTCCGTGGCGCATGAGCCACGCCCCACAGCTGGTGTTAATGCTACGTTCCCTGCCGGGAACAAGGTCATGCCTTTGCTTTCGTGCAGTATAAAAGTGGCAGGGCCCAGTCTGCATGCACACTCACTGCTCTTCTCTCCCAGCAGTCGGAGGTCCAGCAAACCGCAGAGATGAACGCCAAGCTTGCGGTAAGCAATCATGGCTGTTGTGAATGTTTGCTGTAGGGAGGAACGCTGCGGAGTAACGTCAGGACGCCTCCGATCTGCTGTCTTCAGCTCGTCAATATGAAGGAGCATTCAACGTTCAATTAGTTCAGTGCATGACAATTGCAATGCATGTGCAATGCATGAGGAATTATACATGCTGTATAGTTATCAGCGTTTTAGCACAGCCCATTTGTATTCTGAATATTCATAATATTTTTCAGCTGCTGCTCCTGGCTGCCCTGGTGGCTGTCGTCTCTGCGAGCCACGGATACAACGGATATGGTGGACATGGTGGCAACTACGGTGGACACGCTGCAAACAGCGGCTACGGTCGCGGAAGCGCCGCAGGCTATGGGCACCATGGCCAGCGCTACCGCCGTTCTCTGAACTACGGCAGCTACGGCCATGGCCACGGCTCCAGCGGCTACGGACCGGCTACCTACAGCTCCGGATACGCCGGCCACGGACACGGCAGCTACGGCCAGCGCTACCGCCGTTCTCTGGGCTACAGCAGCTACGGCCATGGCCACGGCTCCAGCGGCTACGGACCGGCTCCCTACAGCTCCGGATACCCCGGTCACGCACACGGCAGCTACGGCCAGCGCTACCGCCGTTCTTTCGGCTACTCTGGCAACGCCGCCAGTGGTTACGGATATGCTCCCCGTAGCTACGGATACGCCGGTCACGGACATGCCAGCGGCGGACACGGATATTCCTCGTACCATCATTAAATGGTCTGTTGGTCTTGGTTTGGCATGTTTCGGTGTTCCTCGTTGAATATATTTCTATTGGAAGCACACAATTTGCACTGGATGATGCAGTTATCGAAAAAATAGCAGAAGTATTAGTGACAAGTTTGAAATATGACAACACGCCTATTTATTTGTTACTCTCGTTGTTGCATGCAACTTTTACGAGATGCCTAGTCTGCTATCGTTTGAAAAGCGTAAGAAGTGCAGAAACGTGGCCGGTAGTTGCAGAAACGTAATTTCGAAGCCGGTAGAGGGCTGGCCAGGGATCATGAGAAAGGAGTTTACCTCAGAATACTTTAATAAGTTGGCTTGTGTAAATATATGGCTTACATTCAGCTAAAGCCCGGCGGGGGGGGGAGGGCGTGTGGTGGAACTCGTGAGACAAATATGAATCTGCCCACCTTAGTTGGTGGGCTGCACTCGGGACGCCCGTGTCCAGTTAAGTATCATCAGGGAAAGTTCTTGACCGCAGTTATTCAATGCAGGTGTACAGATGGCGCAAAATCATCGAATTTTCGGTGCCGCTCTGTGGCAATTAGATTGAGCGTAGATAACCTTGCACGCATTATTGTCCTTGGGTGCTCAATATTATACTGAAGTCTTGTGTTTTAGGAAGATTGTGTATAGGTGCGTTGATTTAGAATGACATCGAAGTTTCACACCCATAACGCAAAGGCTCGGGAATCACACGCCAAAAACTACTGAAATACTTCCATGGTGTATGAATCGCCGTAGTGCGTCGACGCCGGCCCGTTGTCAATGTTTTAGACGACACAGCACACCGGGCACGCTTCGGTGCCGCCAAACAGTCTAGTTCAGGTCTCCTGATATAAAGGTGCAGACGTTGTGATGACATGTTTGTGATATATGTCGAAAGGTATATGAGACGAAGGTTAGCGAAAAACCGGCAATTCACTGCATTGGCCCAGAAAGAAAGAAACGGTAGCCGTTTGGCGGTAAAAGGTTCGAACTAGACGCCGTGTGATGTCTCGGAAAAAGTGGGATTAAGAGCTCAGGATCCCAGTCGATGTCTGTGGGCACGTCATGGACGATTATTATTGAAACAAGCGACAGGGCGAGAATCTGTGGAACTGCATGTTTCCTGCCTGCTTACGCCAAATAGAGCGTAGTGAGTTGGTTGCGACACACGTTATGTGTGAGGAATATATCGGAAGCCTGTGTTGTCGCAAAATCAAGGCTGTTTTTTAAGTACTTCAAAGTGGAGAAGATGCACATTGCTGGGTCTTAGCTAGTGCTGCCATTTGTGCTAGTTGACCCGGGCCGTGATCCGGGGTCTAGTGGGGAGTCTTTGGTCAGGCCTCTCTGCGAGTAGGCAGTAGTGCATCGTTCCATGTGAGCTATTGCGTTCCTGCTATGAGAGCTGCTTACTAGAAGAAGTGAAGACGGAACACAAACAATACACCATTTTAAGTCACAAGTGTAACTCGAAGAACCTCTTATCAAACTATAGGGAATCTCAAACTCTGTGCCAACATCGAGAAATAGAAAAAGGACAGGCCATCGTGAAGGCAGTCAAAATGGACAAGAAGGAACCCAAGATTCCAGAGACTGGTACTTGAGATGAGGTTAGCGGGAAGAAATGTTGATGTGGTTAGTGTGGACCACGAACCTTATTGTACGCGCAATGGTGACAACGGCTCAGAAATGAGGCTTCCTAGCCACACTTTTCATAAACATCAGTTGACATTGAATGAGGAATACATTTTCCGTCTTCCATCACCACTACGTCCAGTAAGGACCCTTCACCGGAAAACGGCTACCGTTTCTTTCCTTCAATAGGATAAGAGAAGTCACCGATTTTTCCCTGCGCCTTCGTCTGACAGGACCTTTAAACATATATCACAAACATGTCATCACAACGTTTGTACGGCCTCTAAATCGGGGACCTGCACCGGAAGGTACGGTGAAGTCCCAAGCGCGTCCGACATGCTGTGTCGTCTGAAACACCGACAGCCGGCCGGCACCGACGTGCTACGACGATAGACGCATTATGCAAACCTCTCAGTACTCTTTCGCGTGTTTTTCCTGGACCACTGCGTTATGGGTATGAAACGCTCTAAATATACACAAATTTACGCAAGCTTGTCAAAATACATCACCTCGGTATAACATCGAGCACCTCTAGAAAAGTATATGTAAAGCTATCTACGCCGTATCTTATTGCCGCAGGCCGGGACTGAAGGACTCCATATTTTTTGCGCCATATGTATACCTGGATCGAACATCTTCGGTCAAGTAACTTTCTAAATGACAGTGACCTTGGACCCGGCCGTCCCAGGTGTGACCCACTAAATAGGGCGGGTAGCTTCATATTTAGTTGTCGAGTTCAAGCTCGTCCCCCCCCCCCCCCATTCCCAGGACTTAGCTCACAGCGGACAAATTATTACATAAACCTGTTTGGTGAAGGCTTTGAGGCAGATTCTTTCTTTATAGTCCCTAATCAGCCTCAATGCCTCGCCTCGCCTCGCCAAATCAGCCTCGCCAAAGGTTAATGAGCCACCGATAATAATCAGTGAATAGGCGTGTTTCCATGTTTCAAATTTAAAACATATGCATCTACCAATCTCTAGATGGGTCCAACATCCAGTACCAAATGTGTGCTTCCAGTAGAAATATATTCAACGAGGAACACCGAAACACCCCAAAATAAGACCAACAGACCATTTAATGCTGGTACGAGGAATATCCGTGTCCGCCGCTGGCATGTCCGTGACCGGCGTATCCGTAGCTACGGGGAGAATATCCGTAACCACTGGCGGCGTTGCCAGAGTAGCCCAGAGAACGGCGGTAGCGCTGGCCGTAGCTGCCGTATGCGTGGTCGGCGTATCCGGAGTTGTAGGGAGCCGGTCCGTAACTGCTGGAGCCGTGGCCATGGCCATAGCTGCTGTAGCCCAGAGAACGGCGGTAGCGCTGGCCGTAGCTGCCGTGTCCGTGGCCGGCGTATCCAGAGCTGTAGGGAGCCGGTCCGTAGCCGCTGGAGCCGTGGCCATGGCCGTAGCTGCCGTAGCTCAGAGAACGGCGGTAGCGCTGGCCATTGTGTCCATAGCCTGCGGCGCTTCCGCGACCGGAGCCACCGTATGCAGCGTGTCCACCGTAGTTGCCACCATGTCCACCATATCCGTTGTATCCGTGGCTCGCAGAGACGACAGCCACCAGGGCAGCCAGGAGCAGCAGCTGAAAAATATGATGGAAACAAGGATAAAAAAGGGCTGCACTAACATGCTGATTACTATACATGATATGTAATTAGAGCATCTTCCTGCACTGGATGCTTTGCACGTTGAATGTTTCTTTATATTGACAAGCCTAAGACAGCAGATCGAAAGCGTCCTGACGTTAACCCGCAACTCGCTGCAGCAAACATTCACAACAGCCATGGTCGCTTACCGCAAGCTTGGCGTTCATCTCTGCGGTTTGTTGGACCTCCGACTGCTGGGAGAGGAGAGCAGTGAGTGTGCATGCCGACTGCGCCTGGCCCGTTTTGTACTGCACGAAAGCAAAGGCATGACCTTGTTCTCGGCAAGGAACGTAGCATTGACACCATCAAGGGGGCGTGGCTCGTGCCCTGCGGAAGTGTGTAATGAACCCCTTATGATTCACGTGCTAAGTGCACTAACGGGTCATGACATCGAAAAATCGTTAACGCGTTGGATGTACTCGAGAACACGCTAGACTATAGGTTTTGGGCTGCAGTTAGCTCACATCACTGCAAATCAGCGACCGTATGGTAATTCAGCTGTAGTGATTTCAACTAAATAGATCAAGTTTCCACTTCTTCGTTCTGACACTTGTCCTCACAGCTAGATTTTTTTTGACTTTCAGATACCAACGAACTGATAGGAACTCCTTTTCTATGCAAAAAATATCGCGAGGTAGGTCGCCACGCCTACTTTATAGAGCGGACACGGCTATTTCATTGTCTTTTTTATTGCACTATTGATTATTATGGTGATTATTGTACGACGGAAACTTCGCGCTACTAGCATGCGTCGGATCCGCCGTTGAAGCCCGGTAGATACGATCCGGATCCGCTGTTGCCGTTCGGGAAGGGCCAAACGGAGTTCGGGCTCGGTCGGCTCGGAATGAACTGGCCGCCGGGAATCCGGATCTCACATACCGGCAAGCAACGGAGCAACCAAACATGACGCGCCGGCGAAAAATGGAGAATCCGAATTTTATTTTACGGGCAGGGGCGGGGGGGGGGAATCCCGAATCATACGCACCGATCAGAAGCAGCTTTGACACTTAAGTGGAGAAGTCTTTAGCAGGTTTAGCAGGTTTAGCAGGTCAGGGATTGTCCAGGGAGAAAGGCAGGTCCCGGTAGATGACGTTCAGGACGAAACGAGCTCGTCAGGCGCTGGAGTTCAAAGTCGTAGGGAGATTGCTTCGGTTGCGTTGACCTTTTGCATCCATAAACAGGAAGGCGGTGGGTCGCTGGGCATGTTAGTTGGAAATATGTGGGAGGGGAAAAAAGGAGAAAGACAAGTGTTGGAAGAAAACAACGAATAAAATCCTACTGGCAGATAGGAGACAGCCACCACATTGCAGGATTTGAAAGGAGATAGAGAGAGAGAGAGAGAGAGAGAGAGAGAGAGAGAGAGAGAGAGAGAGAGAGAGAGAGAGAGAGAGAGAGAGAGAGAGAGAGAGAGAGAGAGAGAGAGAGAAGAGAGAGAGAGAGAGAGAGAGAGAGAGAGAGAGAGAGAGAGAGAGAGAGAGAGAGAGAGAGAGAGAGAGAGAGAGACTCGTCGCCAAAAAACGGCTACCGTTTCTTTCCTTGAGCATGAATAGAGAAGCGACAGATTTTCCCCTTTGCTTTAGTCTGGTAGGCCTGCAGACACATATCGCAGCATGCTATTGGAACGTCTGAACGGCCTCTAAGGCGGGGACCTGCACCGGAAGGTATGGCGGCGTCGAAGCGCGCACGACGTGTTGTTTCGTCTAAAACCCCTACAGAAGGCCGGCGCCGACGCGCTGCGGCGATAGACACGGAATGACAATTCTTCAATGGTTTTTGGCGTGTAGCCCCTCGGAACATTTACATTTGGGCTATGAAACTTGGATGCCGTTCTAAAGAAACACGCCTTCACACAGGTTGCCAAAAACAAGAACTCAGTTTTATATCGAGCGCCTCCAGTCAGAAAATAAGCATGTTATGTTCCATACGCTGTCTCATTGTCACAGACCGGTACCGAAGATTCGATATTTTTGCGCCACATATGTGCCTGGATTGTACAGCTGCGATCAAGGATTTTTCTTGATAACACTGAACTGGATCCGGGCGTCCCGACTGGGACCCACTAAGGTAGGCAGTTTCATGTTTAGTTAATCGTTCCAGCTCACGTGCCCCCTCCCCCTTGTTTAAGATGAAGGAGGACCGAATCATTTGATGTCCCAGTGCGCTGAAACTTTTCAAGGTAGGTTTTGTCCTTATCGTCCCTGATCCAACCCCCCCCCCCCCCACGTCCTCTCCCCATCGCAAAACTACGCTTCTGCAACTCACCCACTTCTTACGCTTCTAAAAATGTAGCGGACTGTGCATCTCGTCAGCCTTGCATGAAATATCGAGAATAATCAATGAATAGGCGTGACTTTGTCTTCCTTAGTTGAAGTTGATACGGTCACCATTATTATTATTATTATGTGAACTTACTGCAGCCCGAAGCCTATAGTCCAGTGCGTTATCGACTACATCTAACGCGTTAAAGAGTTTTTGATGCCATGGCCGGTTAGTGCACTTAGTACACGAATCATGAAAGGGTTCATTACACACTTCCGCGGAGCATGGGCCACATCCCTTGCTGGTGTCAATGCTACGGCGGACGACAGCACAAGGAAAAATCGTTCACGTCTCTATTCCCGTTGAAAAAGAAACGGCAGCTGTTTTCCGGTAACGGGTTTGTATTGGACGTAGTGGTCATGGCATATGGAAAAGGTATCCCCCGTTCAATGAAGAGAAGTCCCTCTCTCTCTTTTCTCCCTCACTCCATCTCACTCTCCCCCCCCCCCTCCCTCTCTCTCTCTCTCTCTCTCTCTCTCTCTCTCTCTCTCTCTCTCTCTCTCTCTCTCTCTCTCTCTCTCTCTCTCTCTCTCTCTCTCTCTCTCATCACATACTGCACTCTGGAGGATGTCTCCTGTCTGTCACTAGGTTTTTCTCAGCTGTTTTTCTTCCTCTACCTTTTTTCCTCTACCACACTTCTCCAGATAACCTATCCAGTCACCCACCGCCTCCCTGTTCACAGATACAGAAGATTGACGCAACCGACGCAATCCTCTGGCTACTTTGCACTCCAGCGCCTGATGAACTCGGTTCGCCTGAACGCCATCTACCGGGACCTGCTATTCTGCCCGGACTATCCCGGCGGCCAGTTCATTCTGGGCCGACCGAACCCGAACCCCATCTGGCCCTTCCTGAACGGTAACAGCGGATCCGGATCGTACCTACTGGGCAACAATGGCGGATCCGAATATTACACGCCGGCAAGCAACGGAGGATCGGGATCTTACCTTCCAGACAGAAGGAGGGGTTCCGAATCGTACGCACCAATTGGAAGCAGCCTTGTCTCTCCGCAGGGATGCCTTTAGCTGGTGACGTTTGTTTGTTGTCTTGGGAACCACTGCTTCGTTGAAACTATCTGCCTATGGTTGATGATGTTAAAGGAAGCATCAGGGTCCGCGCAATTTATTCCATCTTTGGATAACCTCGTGTGAACCTGGTTTGAAAGCCGCTGCTGATTAAGGTGTTTCGGTGCAAAACATAAGTATTGTGCTTACAAATAGCACAGCTGCCTGTCAGGATGGCACGTTTTAATGCTATACCTATGCCTAGTCTGCGCTTTGAGCTTAACAAGTATGTTTTGCTATACACTGGACACTACTAAACACGCCCCCGCGGGACAGGTCCTAATTGGCTTACCACACACGCCTTTGTGGTTTTCACTAATGTCTGTGTTGGCTGACTTCCGGTCAGCTATTCGACAAACGGCATTGAATGCGTGGGGCCCTGTTCGTCTCACCGAGAAATGACAGTTATCAATGAGCTTCCCGGAAATGACGTCATGGCACGTCTTGGCGCGAGGCCGGCACGAGGTCCAGCCACATCACGTGTACGCCGTATCAATGTGACGTGAAGTAAACTGCATTATGATGAACGGAATGTTTTATAAAAGACTCCGGGCAGACGTCTTCGTGAAACTATTTCCAAATCCTCTGCCATGTCTGCTCAGTTCTCCACAAGCGAGCGTCGTAGATGTCAGTGGCGTCAAATCGTGACGACAAAAGGCGCTCCAGGTGGGCTCCTGGCGATCCAGAATGCGCAAAATCTGAGCCTGTTGTTGGTAGTCGATCGTCCGGTCAATTCTCTACGCCGATGCGTCCGATATTTCATGAGACGAACTTACTGTTTACGAAAGTACTATAGGGAAAATCTACTTCTAAGTCCCCCAATCCAAGTTAGTGAAAATACACCCCTGGCTGCTCAATTTTAGCACTTGGAAACAATGTAGATAATTAAAAACTTTGCGTTCCATAAACGTGTCGTTCCGAGATGCGCTAGCAAAGCCAACCTACAATAATACAGCCGCTGACACTCCATAAAAGAAGCGTGACGACATACGTGTCGTTCCTTTGCATAAGGGGGAGGAAGTCATAGCAGTTTGTTGATATCCAAAATGCCAAATAAATTGAGCAGTGAGGAAATGTTCCATCACGAAGGAGTGACAGCCTGGATAAATAGGTTGAAATGGCCACAGCTCAATCAATATACGTTTGCTCCTTTTCAGTAATCTTAACTTGCAGGAGTCCAAAATCCATAGCCACAAATAATTCAATCCGTTAAGTGTTTTTCGATACCGTGGCACAAAAGGGAAATTGATATACAAATCATGAACGGTTTTATTACACACATCCACCGAGCATGAGTCACACCCCTTTGCTGGTGTCAGTGCAACGTTCCCTGCCGGGAACAAGGTCATGCCTTTGCTTTCGTGCAGTATAAAAGTGGCAAGGCCCAGTCTGCATGCACACTCACCGCTCTTCTCTCCCAGCAGTCGGAGGTCCAACAAACCATAGAGATGAACGCCAAGCTTGCGGTAAGCGTCCATGGCTGTTTTGAATGTTTCCTGTAAGGAGCAACGCTGCGGAGTAACGTCAGGACGCTTTCGATCTGCTGTGTTAGGCTTGTCAATATAAAGAAACATTCAACGTGCAATGCATCCAGTGCATGACGATGACGTAATTATATGTCCTATATAGTTATCAGCGTCTTAGTACAGTCCATCCTTATTCCGTGTTTTCAACACATTTTTCAGCTGCTGCTCCTGGCTGCCCTGGTGGCTGTCGTCTCTGCAAGTCACGGATCCGGCGGATATGGTGGATATGGTGGCAACTACGGTGGACACGCTGCATACGGCGGGTACGGTCGCGGAAGCGCAGCAGGCTATGGACACAACGGCC